TATATATATATATATATATATATATATATATATAATGTGTGTGTGAACATATCATAATTCATCGAGTCTAGAAGAATCCTCAACGGTCACGTCTTCTATTCCTCAAGCCGCTCCATCTAGAGAAGTCGTGACTCATGGAGGCACACTCCGTTGGTATAAGTAGACACGGATGAGTCATACGACGGAATTTGTGAAGAGCTGGCGCTATATAGAGTCTGGTTTGCTACTTCTCCGTCACCGAGACCCGTTGGTCCACTGGGTATGACGCTTGTGTCATATCGTAACGGTCCGGGTTCAATTCTCGTGGATGCGCACTGCTGATGGATCCCCCAAATAGGACGAAACGGCTGTCCAGTGCTTTCTGCTAGACTCGATGAATTAATTATGATTATTCAAATCCCTTTTAATTTCTGTATGTACACACATATAGCCTGGCGTCAGTTGCGACCAAACCTCTGTGTGTTTATTATATATATATATATATATATATATATATATATATATATATATATATATATATATATATATATATATATATATATATATATATATATATATATATATATATATATATATATATATATATATATATATATATATTTTGCTTGGCCATTAGGTTCTCTGTAGCCTAGAGGTTAAAGTACGTCAGATCTATGACTGTTTCCTCTAGGAAACGCAGGTTCGAATCTTTCCGAAGAGCACATATTTTTCTGATAATAATAAGATTTCTAGAATATTCAGTCCGGTAGATGCAAATAAATAAACAGAACATCAAATCAAATACGGGTATCCATTAAAAATAACGTTTAAGTCATTAAAAAATATGTCGGATTAATAAATGAAAAATCCATTCCTACGAACACACACACACACACACATATATATATATATATATATATATATATATATATATATATATATATGAACGAGAGACATATGTATGCATGTCTGTGTAAAGAAATAGGCTTGGTCGAAATCAACAACAAATGACGACATTGTCTTATTAATCGTCCAAATGCATGCATCAGTTTTCTACTTATCGCTTCCTGGAAGAACAGCCTCATGTTTCGGGTAATGGAATGTTGACACCCATCTCTTTCAGTTCCAATTGCTACTGCTTAACTGATAATCCTTATTGACCGAAGCTCTAAAAAGTTAATAATTAATACCCCAGTTCTCAAATCTAGGGCCCTACCCTGACCTGCCAAAAAAAAAAAATGTACATAATAATAAATAAAACATAAAATTGCGTATCAAAATTATTTTCACTTTTCATATTTTTTTAAACTCACGTACGGTGGCGTAGTGGATAGCGGCTTGGATTGAGTCGAATCCATTACATTCACGTACGTGCTAATACCCTTGGGAAAGGTATGAATCCTCTTCTTCTCCCCCACCCCAGCTATGGGTAAATAGCAGGACAGACCGGGTTCTATAGCCTTGGATGGCAACTGAACTACCGCAGAAAGAAATGACAACCTACTGCGGGAAAAAAATCTGCCTCGTCAGTCATGTGTTGAAAGATACATGATCGCCTAAGCGTGTATCACGCATGGCACATAACTGACTGAACAAATTCAAAAGGGAATTTCAAGTGAGTGAAGTGCAAATCAATCATAATACACATACTGCAACGGCAAAAAACCTAAAAAAAAGAGGCAAAAGCAAAATACAATGTACCAAATGCAGAAAAGATGAAAAGATACGCTTCTTCATGGTCAATACTCCGCCCGTACCAAACAAGCTGATGTAGACAAACCTCGTACCCATCAGTAATTACGTAGTGTAGGGTTAAAAGCTGAAACCGAATGTTTCAATCTTGCTACACAAGACCAATGCTTTGCTAACTAGAAATTGTCAAGCAAGACATAGTGAAAAATTGCGTTAATACAAAATGCACATATCGAGAAACAACTGACCATCTTGTGTTAGCATCCATTGAATATAAAACTCAGCATGATAGAGTGGGCCAATATCTGCCCTGAAAAATATACAAATTTTAGTGGAAGGAACCTGCAAGAAACATCACCCAGACCCGGTTACAGAGATAGGATTGTAACAATTTTATGGGACTTTACAATACACACAGACAGAACAATCATACCGCAGATCAACAAGAATAGAAATGTGCTTTCTTATTGACATGTCAATATCTACAGATTATTATGTACCTTTGAAAAAAAAAACTATCAAAATACAAGGATCTTGAAGTGGAAACCTAAAAAAATGTGACACATGAGGACATCAATAATTCCAGTTGTAGTTGGAGCCCTCAGATTGATTTGAATAGGTTCCGATAGACTCATTGAAGGGATTTCTTGTAGCCCATGATTTAAAGAAATACTAAAAATTGTACTCACATGTACAGCTCACACATTACGAAGAGCTTTATATATGTAAAATGTGTATGACCAAAGAGGAAAAATATCATGAAGCCCTTTCTGACCTTAGGTCTCTTGTTGGGACCCGGAAGGAAATGTGTATACAATAGAAATCAAAGGAATTTATTAATGATAATAATAATAATAATGGTATTATGGAACGCGACAATGGCATTGTTATTAAGTAAAACCTAATATAGACTCATTATATTATATAGACTCATTATATTAGTTATAAGCACGCGTCCTTGGAGAATTTAAATCAACCCTTTTTTTTTCTAACGTTCTGTATTAATCTGTGGCGGTTAGGTGATATTGTTAAGTAAAGCCTATATTTACTAATCATAAATGGAAAAACTTAATACAATTCAGTGATCCCCAATATTCTAACGCATTATCGTTGCTGAAAATAGAATCGACGAGCCGTGTTCAAATTACGACCTAATTTGTTGTATCCTCTTCCGTACAAATGTATTTAGAAAAGGAAAGCTACTAATTAAATAGCAGGGTAGACTAGGTCTTCTAGCTTTGGGTGGTAGAAGGAACACTCTGAATTCCTTGGAAGAAGGAAAACAGTCTTATTTCAAAACGTGGAGAAGGCAACGGGAACCCATTTCACTGTCCTTCCCAAGAAGTCGTGGCAGTTTACAGATAATAAAGAAAAAGGAATTTGTGGAGAGTCCTACTGAAGAGACATCGCTTTACAAAAATAATGTTATCAGTCTTTAGAAATTGTTTATGTAATAAGCTTTCATAAGCTTTAGAGTAAATATCTGGGAAAAGAAAAAGAAAATACTTTTGATACACTCTCATACGATAAAATCGTTACCCGCCTACAAGGCTGGTGACTTCATGGCTCAACAAAAGTTAAGTGTCTGACTGCAAATCGAATTTAAATCTTGAGTAGAGATTGACACTCGAAAATTTTTGCGGCGTCATTTGACTTCACTGCTAATATGTTGTTGAAATAACTCAAATATCTACACTTGTCGTCATTCTTGTCTTTAAAAAAAGTTTCTTTTAAGAATTCTGTTGATGCTAACATACATATACATCATTACGAGACTTACATTTCCCGCTGTCGACGTACATAAAAATTTTGAAGGCACCGTGAAATGTCGGTCCTTAAATTTTGTGTTATAAACTAGCGCTTAGTGCTATTTTCACACCAGCGTAGACGTATAGTAACATATATAATAACCTGTTTTGGCCACGTATTTTTATTATTTTGTGTATTGGGGATGTCGTTTAGTTTAGTCTCTTTCTACTGACGTGTATTCAAGCGAAATCAAAATGGCGGCGCTAATGAGAAATCGCTGTTAGCGTTTTTTTTTTGTTTTTTTTTTATAGCCGTTTATTTCCAGTAAATGTCAATTTCCTATTTTTCCCCAAAACTTGCCAGCACACCCAGGCAACAATGCTATAACAATGCAGCAATGAAAGTGTTAATAACTTAATTAGTACCATCATTTTCTAAAATAATAATTGCTCTAATTTTGGGATGTTTCGCTTGAAGCTGAGAACACAGCTGAAGTGAAGAATTAATACTACACTCTGATCCTTAGTAGATGGTCAGGAAACATTGTTTTTATCCTAGGTAGAATCCACAGACGCCCTGATACAAATAAATAATCATGACAGTTTTTAAGAATGTGTGGATGGTGCAATGGATAGTGACTCAGAATGAGAAATGGGAGACTTCTGTTCGAATTCCGGTTGGATTCGTTCCATTCAATTACGCGCAAATACCCTTCTCCTCCAAGCTATGGGTTAAATAATATAACTTTCACCTGGAGAAGTCATTGTTATCATCAAGAAATAGTGCAATATTCACTCGCAAAATAAAGAATTATTCTTACGATCCAAAATATCTCTGCTTTAAATAACCCCCTATAGGTTGATAAGCCGTAAAAAGCAAATCAATTTATCAATCAGCAATTTTTACGGGTAATATGCTAGTTTAAAATCATAATCAAATCGCTTTCGATATTTATTTCGCATAGGCGTTAATAGACTTCATTGCTTTTCTTGCAGAACTAAAACTGAAATTGTTTACCTTTTCTCTCTCTTCCCACCCTTGATGGGTACGGTCGAAAAAGAAAGCAAAATAAATCTCCGTAAAAACAGAATACGTGTAGATTTAAAACAAAAAAAAAAGGTTCAAGAGGTCACAACTTAAAGCCCTACCCCAAAATACAGATCAATAAGTAGAGAGAAACAAACAGAAAGCGAAAAGGATGAAAGAAAGAGGTGGGAAGGGTATGCGTGTCAAGGGTCACTTATGGTACGAACGTTATCTTTCCTAAGAAGAACATCTGCAACCAGGAATGGCCGAACATAGAGAGGAGTGCTTCTCACGGATTTTCTACCGGCTTCAACATAACACTTCCGTCTCTGCTGATTATCCCAACTCTCAAATGCGGCGGGAATTTTAAGGACGGGTTAGATTTACAGCGAATAAGAAGTAGAGGCCTTTCTTTATCCTACGAGTCATTTTTTTTTTTTTTTTTTTTTTGTTGAGTGAACGATTATGTGGATTTGTTTGTCGCATTTTCAAATAATACACCGTAAATAATCTTAATAATCTTACGTTAAAACACCGATTCTCGTATACGTCACGTTGAAACCCCGGTTCTCGTACGATCACTAAAGTTAAGCAACGTCGAGTCTGGTCAGTACCTAGATGGGTGACTGTTTGGGGATACCAGGTGCTTCAAGCTAGGATGTGTAGGTGATGTAATGAATAATAGTTTGGAATTGTTCATCGGAAAGTTTGTTCAGACATTAGTAGTAGGTATTCATTAGTTTCGAGAGATTATGTCTCCTAAGTTTGCTAGCTCAGTGCCATTCGTGTTTCTTCCACTGCAACATGACTGAGCGGACTTTAGTTACAGTTTCTGGGATAAAGCTCCTAATTTGGTGTGACCAACACTTTGAACCAGCCTAGTACGCTCAAACCCTCGCTCATGCTGACTGACTTGTGATTTCATGCTAGCACAACTATCAACGGCTTATAAGCAATTTCGTCGGCTCAGTTCCCTCACAAGCCCCGGTTCAACTCGAATGGTTTTCAAGCACTTTCCTTTGGTGCTGCACGCTCAGATCATATTCTCATGACTAAAGTCACCTTCTTAACAGATCGATGGAAGGATAACGCTCACTTGGCCACGCATCATAGTCTAACTACATTTTTTTTAAATATTCAGGTCAGAGGCAATCATGATTTCTCCACAGTTTTTTTTTTCTTTATTATCTCTGAGTTGGGAAAGATAGTGGAATGGTTAAAAGTTGCCGTCTCCACGGTTTGGGATTCAGTTTTTCCTTCTCTTTACCCTGGTTGCAAACCCAAACCTCGAGAGCCCAATCTACTCTGCTATTTAACCTTTAGTTGGGGAGAGAAGACACTGATTCACGCATTCATTCCCCAAGGGAATTTGTACAGAAGTGAACGGAATAGACGAGTCTGGAATTTGAACTCGGGTCGCCGGCTACACTTTCCGCGCTGATATCCGTTACACTACCCGCACACCTAACTCCATAATACTGTAATAGTAAATGCAGAAAAAGTGTGGGGGGAGTTCTTATACAGTACTCTACATTTTAAAATAAGGATAAGATGCATGACTCTCGAACAAAATGTATGACTGCAGACAGCCAAGATGCAGTAGCTGTTGCAATACACTCTTATTTTTCTTCATTGTTTTAGATTTCATCTTATACAAGGCTCGAGAGCCACTGCAAGTAGAGGGTCACAGTCGAAATAGTAATGATGAATGAGGTGTGTGATGTGAGGGAAGGTAATAGAATGTAGTGATAGAATTATGAGGATAAGGAGGATAACGTTTCAACTGATTCACTCTGCAACATCTTCAGGTGTACATAGAGAAAGAGAAGAAAATCCTCATTTATATACCGTAGTGTCATTATGAACATTTTATAGCACTTTCTTACAAGCCTTCGTCAAATTTAACCTTTCACATATACAAGCGTTTTAGCATTAGAAACACCAACGTTGCTGATATTGTCTGCGATTTTAGGAAGTCATTATCATTCCCAAAATTATACGGACACTGAATTGCGTTATCTATATTATTCCGACGACATTTCATCCGATTTATTCTAGAGCTTTCTTCATGTGTACATGTTTTAGTTCGCTCCTAGCGGTTATAATACTATGTTACGCTTAGTCTACTCACAGTGACGTCATTAGGAACAGCGGAATGTCTGACTCTAACGGACTTTCTTGACTCACTATGAGTTCTTTATTTAAGCCGCCTTGCCAATTTCATTTATGACCCCTGGGGTGTCTTATTTACTCCACAACAATACAAAAATTCATTCTACAAGTTTTTAAAAATATAATTGTCATTCCCAGTTATTCTGACAACTAAACTTGTCTTTCATGTTATTAGTGTTGTTTCTATAATGTTTCGGCTACTCTGTTCTTGGACCTTCTTCAGATACGTATGTCTATTTTTCAGATTGTTAGAATTGTGCATTCATTTTTAAGAATTTTCTGGTGACAAAATCAGGGCATTTGGCGTAAATTTTTACCCTACAATCTTTCTTGAAAATAGAGATCTGCTCCAACTGTTTTGCTTTATTCTAAAAGCTCGTAACAGATAAACCTAACATATTCCGCCTCACCATGATCTTCAGGGAATTGAGTTTTAAAGGATTTTCAATTTTACACCATTCTTCGGCCTTCTAGCATCATCAGTATAATTTTTACTGATATAGTCTATGATTTTAGGAAAAGTCATTATCATTTCAGAAATTATACGAACAGCTAAACTCATTCTTCGCGTTATTTATATTATTCCGACATTTCAACCGATCTATTCTACAGCCTTCTTCATATGTGCAGTCTATAAGTTAAAAAAAACGAATCATTATCATTCTCACAGTTATTCGAACAACTGAATTTTAGTTTTTGTAACGTTTAGTCCACTCTATTCTTCAACCTTCTTCAGGTGTACAATTTGTATCGAAATTGATGATCTTAGGTTAGATCGGCTTATTTCATGACAAGTCGGTCCTTCTTGGATCATTTAATACTGATCTTTGTAAGGGGCATCAAGTGAGGTCCGAATTCATTCCTCAGCACTAATGATTAGTTAGCTTCCCCTCATTATTACAATACGCCTCTGTGTCTAAAAGGCGATTGTCTCTATTTCTCATAGTGAAAAGATAAAATGTCAGCAAATACAACATTCACAATTATTACAGGTTATTTCCTTTTCAGTAATTAGTACAATACAGTTTTTCATAATTTTTCAATGATTTTACTTCCTTTTTTTGCTAAGCAATGAATTCCCTACTGAATCTCTGTTGAACAACGAAAGCTATGCTTTTTTTTAAGTTTATGTAACATTGTTTTTTCCGCGCTCTTCTGAAAGTCTTTGAATGCTGATAATCAGATTATTCACTATCAGTTGCTAAGCATTTCTATCTTCCCTTCTTTCTTTCTTTCATTCACTTTTTCACTGATACCAAGTAGTTTCTTTTCCTCTCTTTCAACGCAATCAAAACGGAATAGTCCATTATGTATGACGGCATAACGACCGTGCGAATTAAAGAAGGATATAATAGAATAATAATAATAATGGCATTTTCACTGTTAATAAACAACAACAACAATAACAATAATAATAATGACATTTTCACTGTTAATAAACAACAACAATAATAATAATAATAATGACATTTTCACTGTTAATAAACAATCATAATAATAATGACATTTTCACTGTTAATAAACAATAATAATAATAATGGCATTTTCACTGTTAATAAACAACAATAATAATAATTTCACTGTTAATAAACAACAACAACAATAATAATCATGTTATTTTTTACTGTTAATAACAACAATAATAATAATAATAATAATAATAGTAATAATAATAATAATAATGACATTTTCAGTACAAATAACAACAATAAGCGACCCGCTACCACGTCTCCCCACCCCAGCAAATTTTCCCTTCGATATGTTGGTTGATTTATTTTAGTGGCATATCAACCACTGTAGGTTATTTAATGCCTAAATATAATTTTTTTGAATACAATTTTATGGCTTCAACTACGGATAAAATGTATTGTTTGTGCTTTTGTGTTATTAAAGGAATTGTTCGTAATTCTACTATAAAATATATTGTTGGTAATTTTACTATAAATAGGTATTGTTGGTAATGTTTTTATATAAAATGTATTGCTGGCATTTTTACTATAAAAATGTATTTTTATACTTTCATAGTACTTTCTTTTTGTTTGGCTGGGGGTAAACTATTTTCCCATAGATGAGCCCCCTAACAGGTACTACCACCCCGGGTCAGATCTGGGAACAACGGCAATTAAGAAGTGGTTCCGCTCTCCTCAAAACCTTCAATCACCCAATCAGAGGCCTTGCTGCCAGATGTAGTTTATCGTCCCTTCGGTATGTCCCGTGTGTTTCAAAATCTCCAAGCCCTCCTTTCTCAAAATATGTGTCCAAGAAATTCCCGCTGTTTCTTTCTGATTCTGAGTATGTGACTTTTTTGCTTCCATTCTCCACAAAATTTCTTCGTTGCTTACGCGCTCCGTCTTTGGTATTCTCAGCATCCTTCTGTAGAACCACATTTCTGTTGCCTCCAGTCTTCTCTTCATCTGTGAGGAAATTGCCCAGCATTTACTGTCATACTGGAGGATTGGTGAATGTGAATCCTCGTGAGTTCAAAAGTACGGAAGTTTTAAAAAATTGTTATATTTTCTCTTTCTCGCCGAAAAAAAGACCCCAAATGATGTTTTATTTTAGTTTTTCGTTAGTCCCCACTACTGCGAAAACCTACACTCTAACCCATAACCCTGACGGAGATAGAGAACTAACGAAATACACTTAACGTATCAGTTCGCACTGGTTATGAAAATTTTGACCTGGTTGTAACGAAGGAACATATCCCAGAATTCCATGCTTTATATTTCTATTTTTTACTTATTTAAAACTTTTAACAGCACTATTCTCTTCTTCGGGCAAAGATGTAAGAATGTGAGAACGTTAGTGATCTGGAACTCGATTAAAAAGATATACATGACTGACCATTTAAAAAAGAAGGGTTTAAATGTTTTGATTCTCTCTGACCCCAAACTTGACAGTGAGAAAAAAGAAAATGCATTTTTTCTTTTTAAGCTTCCATACTTTAAAATTATGACCGTTAGTTTTTGATAAGGACAAACAATGAACATAGATTTCAATGAGATAATCCGAAATTAAAATGTCTGTTGATATTGGCAACCAACTGGATTTTTTCTTTCAGCATTTATTAATATATAAATAAAATGATAGATAAATCAAATTATTATTTCCTAGCAAATCATTAACTTATAGATAAAATCAAGCAACACATTTTCTTTTTAAATTCTTTTTCTTGCTTGACCTTCGTCGTCTTCTTTCCGTTCATATCATGTGTGTCTCCTTATCTGACACTTGTGGGTTTGCATGCGCATGCGCGCACGCACACACACACACACACACATTGATCTGCTTCGTGGGTTAGGTAGTTGGGTAATTTCCATTAAGTCAGAGGCGTGTGAGCTGTGATAAATGTCGGGATTTCCAATGCCGATTTTAAAGGCATGCAATATGCCTTCTCATTTGCTAAACAATCTTTTTATCCTTAATTATCCTCGTTTGGCCTTGACGGAGAAAGGACATAGGAGAAGGAAAAGGAATTTC